CTCCTACTGCTGCTGCTACTGCTGCTGCTCCAGCCTCTGACACTCTCCCCTCTTTTACGCTGCTTTTGCGATCCCGCCGTCGTTGCTCTCTTCCCGCATCCTTCGCCGTCCTCCGCCTATCTTCCTATCCCACCCCGCAGAGCCTCAGTTTCCCCGCCATCCCTTCCACGCCCTATACTCGGTCCAGTCCTTTCGCTCAGCTACTTGTTTTTCCCTTCTCTTCCTCCGCGCACCGCTCGAGTCGTCATTGACGTTGCCCTATGTTTGTCCATGCGCTGCCCCCGTCCGGTGCCTCCCCACTCTCCGCAACGCCCTGTGTGAACCGCAGTCCGCATTGCAACAACGACCACGACGGCTTGTCCACCGATAGCTTTCATCGTGATTTCGCCTCCCATTGCCATTGAGCATCGACATCGACATCGGCATCGGAATCGCAATCGCACACAACCCACCCATTGCCCTAGAGGATATCAGCGTCCCCCGCAGCGTACATAGATCGCATACATTATCTCCACCTGGGTGCCACCGCGGTGTTGTTCCATGGTTCTCCTCCCTCTGGTGATGCGACCGTATTTTATTTTGATCTTTTCTTATTCAGCCATCAACCACGCTTTCGACTTTCGCATTCGTCTGGCGTACAGCGACTACCGCTTGGCCCAGTGCAGCCTGGGTGTCCATTGATCTTTCTAGCTCGCATTGTGTCCCGCGATTAGTCTTCTCTACCAACTTGTCTTCAAAGTGGCTCTCCATCGGCTTCCCTCTTCGCCATCTCTCGTCGTCGGTTCCAAATTTCCTGCCTGAACTTGGGCTGCTTGACCCTGTCGCACGGCCGCAATCCGCCAGTCAGACCTCTCAGCGCCCTGGCTGCAGTCGCGTGATCCACTTCTGCCGCTCCCTCACTTCCTGAAGCATACCTCGCAGCGCTGCTGTGCCACCACACTCAAACTGCTCGCGCGTGTTGTTGGCCTTATCAGCCCGTCAAAGGTCTTACATAGCCACTTGAAATCTTAACCTGGTGTCGTAGTTCGGCGTGTGTCGCTGTGAGGATTATTGTATTTCTCCTTTACAAATCGAGGGAGAACAGAGGCAAAAACAACCAATATATATATATATATAACGAGGAAACGAGAGGTAGGAAATAAAAGAAGGAAAAGAAAAGGGCTGTAATTAGATTCAGCTGTAAGATACACATCGGCTACTTGCAGGGAGCAAGACGGAGAGGAAAAAACCCCAACAAACGTGGGCATCGCATCGATGGACAAGAAAGCACAGGCGATACGGCAATTCACCTCCCCACGCTCGCACGGCCATTCCCCCCCCCCCCCCCGACCTGCTCTTCCGCAGCAGGTAAAATACTAATATACAGCCTTATACTTATATATTATGACCGCCAGCACCCAAAATGGTTCGCCGACCCCGCCGCCGGCTGCTCCAACTGCTACAAACCAAGAATCCAAAAATATGACTGCGAACCCCGCGGACGCCTCCGAGTCGCAATCCCCGGCAAACGAGAAAGGAGGTGGCACGGCTGAAAATGGCCAAAAACATACCTCTACCGCCGCCAATGCTAAAGACCCTCTCCGCCCAAGGAGGAAGAAGGCGAAAAGAGCTTGTTTTGCTTGTCAGAGAGCCCATCTGACTTGCGGTACGCTACCCTCTTTAATATTTGTTTAAATTTCGCCCCTTTATTTTCATTTGACTCCTCTTCTCTTTCTAAAATTACCTGGCTCTCCCCTTTGTGCTCTCCCATGTTCCTTATCAACATCCACTCCCTATCATGCCATGAGATAAAAGCTGGCGAAGCGTAGTTGAAATCAGCTTCCACACCCAAGTGTGCAATTGCGCACAACCAGGGTCGATTAGCAACTCCTTTCTGGCTTATCCATTGCTAGAGAATTGTAGAACCTGACAATAGAAATTGCTTTACAGGCGACGAGCGACCTTGTCAGCGATGTATTAAACGCGGCCTCCAGGATGCTTGCCATGACGGAGTACGGAAGAAGGCCAAATACCTTCACGATGCACCAAATGAAGCTCTCATGCCTGGCATCAGAAGAAATTTTTACAACCAGGCAAATGCGACACGGACCAATGCTAGCCAACAGCAAAATGGCCCCAATTCAAACTCCAACAAAGACTCACGCCAAAACGTTGCCGCCAATTTCTACTCACCGCAGTCTGCTAGTAACTTCGATGTCTACACCCAAGCCAAGTCCCAACAGGGTCAGGGTCACATACCCCCTACAGTAATGCAGGACACGTCGATCAATCCCAGCGCCTTCCAAGCTCCATCCCCCACATCAACACCCAATTTCGACCTTTCGTCGAATCCCCCAAATCGGAACCTCTCGTCAGCCATGACTCAAACGCCGTCGTCTGCGTCTAATCAGACCCAGGATCCATTTGGCGCTGCATTTTTTGACCCCAGTCACCCAGCACTGTTCAATTTCGATATTGCCAGTATGAATTTCGGCAATCGGTATGGCGCTTTGGAATTTGGAATGCTGGGCCACATGGCTACAGGCGCTGGCGACACTCCACCCAGCGATTCAGCTACGCAGCGTGGATCTATTGGACGGAGTTCTGGTACTTTCACGGCTCAAAACTTTGGAGATAGCACTAACACCCAGCCTCCCTTCCTATTTGGTGATCCAGTTCTCAATGACTGGAATCCGTCGGGACAAAGCCAGACAAATCCCCGCAATAATAATATCTACAACCAAAACACCGTTGCAGGCCAGATGGGTGAGCAGCATCCTAACGCATTCGCTATCGAGAGTGCCCCGATGAATTTCGCCAGTCCGGGTTCGACTGAAAGTCCGCAGATGACGACCATGAATCAATTCGACGAAGCTAATGCCAAGTTTTCCTCCCGAACAGCCCTTATGCATCAAACGAACCCCCATCAGCCGCCTCCCATATCAACCCCCGGTCTCAAACATCAGGGCTTCCAGGTAGGCGTGAAGAGGCGATATCGTAGCCCCTCGTCAATATATGAAAGCGTCAAGGAACCATATTCATACACCAGCGGCTTCCACAACCTCACAGCGTTTATCCAACGGCGCTTCTCACCGCAAAAGACCCTGCAGATCGCCAAAGCACTCGCCTCAATCCGCCCCTCTTTCATAGCCACCACCAAAACCCTCAACCAAGATGACCTCATATTCATGGAGAAATGTTTCCAACGCACCCTCTGGGAATACGAAGACTTTATTAACGCATGCGGGACACCGACTATCGTCTGTCGCCGCACGGGCGAAATCGCCGCTGTGGGCAAGGAATTCAGCATCCTAACTGGCTGGAAAAAGGAGGTCTTGCTTGGCAAGGAGCCAAACCTGAACGTTAACACCGGCGGCTCCTCGCCAAGAGGCAGCGGTACCTTTACCCCGCGGAACGGCAATGGTGTAGACCCTCACTCGGGTATGTCCGCCTCAGGTGGCGGTGGTGGCCGCACACAACCTGTCTTCCTCGCGGAGTTGCTTGACGACGACAGCGTCATCGAGTTCTATGAGGATTTCGCGAAGCTTGCGTTTGGCGATTCGCGTGGGAGCGTGATGACGACGTGCAAGTTGTTGAAATATAAGACGAAAGAGGATAGTGCGGCGCTGTTTCAAGGGAGGGAGGCACAGCAAGGTGGACCGGATGGGAAAGGAGGTGGTGGTGGTGGTGGCGATGTTGCGACGACAGCAGCAACGACGTCGACGTCAACCAGCAATGGCGCAAATAGTAGCGGTCATGCAAACGCCAATAGAAACAACACCAACCCCAACAACTCATCCCCCCCATCGTCGTCATCTGCGGCGGCGGCGGGGCCATTGCACGGAGCCCAGCTATCACCGAAGCAGACCTGGGGGAAAAGGGGTATTGCCGGCGAGGCGGGAATGAATCAGTTGGGATTCCGCGACGGGAAGGTGGAGTGCAGCTATTGTTGGACGGTTAAGAGAGATGTATTTGATATCCCTATGCTTATTGTCATGAATGTAAGTTGCTCCCTCTAAACCCCCCCCCTTTCACCTCTCACCCACGCATGACACTACCATTTTCCTTGCTTTGGTGTTGTGCTTTTCACTTTTTCCTTTACTCTTTGCTCCTGAGTTTGTTGCTTTGTTGCTTTCCTTTCTCCACTGGTTTTATTTATTTATTTCTTTCTTTCGTTCTTTCTTTCTTTTTCCCACCCGGAACGTTCTAACGTTGACTCTGCCATATAGTTCCTACCCTGCATTTAGCCCCTTAAGGCGCACACCTACATAGGACATATACCCGTCGGCAAAAGTAGTTTTAAATCGATAAACAATAATATGTTTTTTGGTTATTATTTTGGCTCATTTTATATATATTTATCATTACATCTTCGGACGTTTCAAACCAGTGACCTCCTCAAGTATTTTTTTCCTTATCTGGTTTTTTTCTTTTCTTTTCTTTTCTTTTTTTTTTTTGGATTTTTTTTTTTTTTTTTCTACTATTCTTTATGAAAATCTCTATGAATCACCCTTCCTTCCACCTGTGGGGGTAAATCGCAAAAGCAAAATACACAATGGGAAAGGGGTATTTTGGTGTTAGGATTTTATACATGTATATATATATATATACAAATATTTTCACGGAGGCAGGGAATAAGGTTATTTGGTTATTTATTATTCCACCTTGGGAGTTTTGTGATCTGATTTTTATTTTCAAATTTCACTAACTAGCTCATTGTTAAAGAAAAGAGGAAGAAGAAGCACTGGGCATGAATGCTTGAAGTGGATGGGTCCGGAAATAGGGGGAGATCTGAATATCTGATATCCTGATATCCTCGTGTATATATAAACTCTACACATCCATATTTAGCTGGTGAATAAATAGCGGTGACGGCAACACCGTTTCTATTTCCGCATCTCATCTGATGGGTGGTATTGGTATAAATAAAAACAAAACACATGTCGCTCATTACCGCACGCAACAGCACAAGGCCTCCTTCATCCCTTCCTCCTGGGTTTTTTTTTTTTTTTTTTGTTTCCTCAAAACGCCTGCAACCATTCCCTCGCCTCTTGTACCTCCCTCTTCCCATCCCCCTTCGCATAGCCCAGATACCCAGGTCTCTCCAAACTCCTCCTCGCCACCTCGCAGTCAACCCGGATATCCTCCACCAGCGCCTCGAGGCTGACGTAGTCGAATTCCGGCCGGATGTAGCCCAGCACCAGCAGGTTGAGGCGCGTGCCGTAGAAATCGGGGACACGGAAGAAGCGGGTTGGTTGGTCTGTTGTCTTTTGGGGAAGGGGCTTTGGTGCTGCGTGGCTGGTGAATTGGGGGAGGAGATGGATTTCCTGTATTCAGGCCGAAGTGTGGGGTGAGTGGTGGGGGGTATTGGATGAATGTGGATATCTCGTTGGTTGGATGGTTGGGGGGGGGGGGGGGGGGGGGTTCCTTCAATTTTATTTTCTTTCTCCACCGATTTTTTTTTTTTGGTGCTCTTTAGATACGTACCACGGACCGAACTGTATTCTTATAGAAGGGGTTGTACCCTATGCTCAGAACGCAGGGGAAGACGTTTTCATTTTCATCTTCGCTTCCGTCTGCAGTTGTATTTAAATCTGCGGCATCGTTCGGCCCATTTTGCTCGTCCCTATTCCCCTTATACTTGAATTGGGATGGGTCGAGCGCGGCGACACCATAATATACTCCTGACTCCACGTCTCCGTATGGAGCAAGCGAGTCTGGGGGGATGTTGGCAGTTGGAATACCGAGCTGTTTTATTCCATTCAGTCGTGGAAGTTGTTAATTTTAAGCAACAGAAAAAAAGAAAACGGGTGCTAGGAGGAAGGTATCTGCGATGATTTTCACACCAAGAAGGGCTTCAAGTAATGTATCGTTTATTTTGTAGCAATAGAATTAAGGATATAGTGTGTATGTGCAGGCATAGACAGGGCATATTCAAGTAAATATGCATAGAGTAAAGGAAAAGGCTTCCATCCTCTGCATCCCCAGGGAAGGGAAATCCACAAATGATTGAACACGGTGTATATAAAGGTTCATAATAACGCAACTGCCAGCCTAAGAACAAGGCCATGCATAAAAAGAGTTCAAACATAGTATCCAGTTACCTTAAAGCCCTGATACGTACGGGATATCAGGATATAGAATAAATATACACCAGGATGAGGGCATATATACACCCTTCAAAAAGAAAAAGCAACAAGCACAAAACCCAAAAAGTAGATGATAATATAAAATGCAAACCCACCTCTTTGCTCCCCGAA